TTTCTCTTTATAACTACTTATAACCACCGTAATCTAACTATCAAATTACTATAATATTATAAGCCAAAGTTCTTTAACAAAAATTTATATCAATTTTATTTATGTAAACAACAAAGTTTTTTGTATAAATTAATTTATTTTAATTATTTCTAAATCACACACACATTAGGTGTACCCTTAACACTAGCATATATAAAATGTAAGCTAGCGTTAGATTGGTGTGAACAATTTTTGTCACTTTTCAAACATTTATTTTTACTCACAAAAAAATTAACTTTTAGCTTAACTACCTAATTATATGTTACGAAAATAACCATAACCAATTTTCATCCTAAGTGCCTAAGTGCACGTGCTAATGTAATGATCTTTAAACGTTATAACTAGAATTGCAAACGAACCGAGTTGCTCGTGAGCGACTCGAGTCAAGCTCGACTCGAGCTCGTTCAATATCGAGCTCGAGTTGAACGAGCTCGAGTTGAACTCAAGTTCAAAATATTAAGCTCGTTGCTCGCGAGCTCGAGTATATATATATATATATATATATATTTTTATTTTAATAGTAAAATTACATATATATCCTTAATATTTTATTATTTATTTAAAAATATTATATTATTTATTTTTTAAAAAATAAAATAATTATTTTGTATTTTTTCGAGCTCGAGCTTTAAATTGTCAGCTCGAGTTCGAGTTTAATAAAACTAAGTCAAGGCTCGGCTTGATTAGGCCAAAACTCAACTTGGACCGGCTCGTTTGCAGCTCTCGTTATAACTACCAAGATAAATATAATCTTATAGAACAATATTTAAAAAATCTAATTTTACTTTAGTCATGAAAAATTATATAAAGTTAATTTGCATAAAAATATTTGGGTAAATATAGAAAAACCCCTTGATGTTAAGCGAACATACAAAAAAAGCCCCATATAATTTCAAAACATACATTTCGATATCTCGTGGTTTGAACTAATTTAAAAAAGTGACAGAAATCGTTTGAATTAACGGGTTTGAAATAAATGCACTTCTTTTGAGAGTATTTGTATTGAAAACAAACAAATTTTTAGTTGATATACCTATTATACTCTTAGAGTTATAATACAGAAAATCCCCCTATGGTTAAGCAAATTTACAAAAAAAGTCTCTTATGATTTCAAATCATACAATTCAGTATCTCATGGTTTGAATTAATGTGAAAAATTGACAAAAATTATTTAAATTAACGTGTTTCAGGTTGCTTGACATAGAAAATAATTTTTTAAATCAAATTTTTAGCTGATATACCTATTAAATCCCTTAGAACTCATAAAATTTTTAAAAACAACCCAAAACTCCAAAATACAACTCTCCTTATTTCTATACATAAAATAAATAAATAAAATTTTCAAATAAAACTCACCTTATTTCTATAAACAAAATAAATAAATAAAAACTTTCAAATATAACTTACCTTATTCCTATGCATAAAATAAATAAATAAAAGCAAAATGTAACCATATGGGGCTTTTCCGTAGGTTGGCTTAACCACAAGGAGTTTTTTCGTAAGTTTGCTTAATAGGATCATTGTTAGAAGGTCTTTTATTACTTGGGTTAAAAACAAAAAAGCCCCCTGTGATAAACCTAATACACAGAAAAGCCCCCCATGGTTTCAAAATATACAACACGACCCCTCATGCTTTGAACTAAATTGTAAATGTGACGGAATCCGTTAAAGTTAACGGAAATGGACAAAATGACCAAAATACCCTGATATAATTAAGCAAAAGACAGCTCAAAAAAATCATTTGTTTTATTCTCTAAATAGAGAGAATTGAGGGTTAAGGGGTAGAATAGGTATATTTGATAAAAATTAAGTATAAATTTTTTTTTTTAGGTTCCAATAAGTCATTTCCGTTAAATTTAACGGATTCCGTTACCTTTACAATTTAGTTCAAAGCATGAGGTATCGTGTTGTATATTTTGAAACCATAGGGGGCTTTTCTGTGTATTAGACTTACCACAGGGGGCTTTTTTGTTTTTTACCCTTTATTACTTATATATATTAGGGTAATTGTGTCATTTCATCTATCTCCATTAGTTTTGATAATTTCCGTTGCTATTTCAAATTTGTTCAAATCATGATGGGTCGAAATGTATGATTTGAAACTATAAGGGATTTTTCTGTAAGTTAGCTTAACCACAAGGTTTCTTTTGTATTTTACCCAAAATATTTTGTTAGGTTGGACTCACATCGGGTGTGCTTTGAACATTAGTTCAATTTAAGTGATCTTCTATCCACACTTTTGAGTCTTAATTTCAAACCTATAAGTACTTTAATTTTATGGAACCATATGGTATTGTTAAGTATGTGGAATTAAGCTCAAGCAATTAAAATTAATAAAAGAACATTTATCAAGTTACGTGATGAGACATAAACCACATTTTATGGGGGAGGGCAGGGTTGTAACTTGTTGGGGTAATGATCAAGAAGCAAAGAAGTTGTTCGTTTCTTTGAATGTGTATCTCTTAATAAACTTAATGTTAACAGACTTAATATTAATGGAAAGACTGAAAAAACTTAAAATTTGAATATTGAGTGACATAGTTGCCGTGTGAAAGTACCTGATCTTTTTTCTTTTGTATTTTCATCCGTGAATTCCTCTGTAGATCTTATTTGTGGAATGGAGTACTTAATCTTTGATTTTCATTTTATACTTGAACTTTTGAGCATAAATTTAAAATATCTTTTGTGTTGAATCAATTGTGATTAAACATGTCCACGGTAGAAGTCACTGTAGAATATTATTATCTCATGAGAAATGTTCTTGTTTATCTTGTGGAACGCTTGATTTATTATTATTATTATTTTTTGATAAAATAGAAGTCAATATTAGTAATAAAGTAACTGAAAATCGTGACCAAGATGGCTACATTAATGGTAGAAAATATATAGAATATGTCACAAATATATCTAATATGAAATATCATTAAATTTAATAGAGTTACAAAATATAAAATATTATACTGTGAATTACAAATCATAAAATCTGATCAATTGCATGAGTTACTCCATAAGTCCCTCAGATCTGCTATCCAACTGGATCAAAAACTTCCTTTATAATTAAGCGGATGCATTAATTTTACGGCATTCCAGTCTCGCTCGTATTTAAAGTGAAGGCTGTGAAACTAAATCAGTTGTCTAAAGAGTGTCCTTCATAGTTATGATCATCCGCCATTAGCAAATTAAGTAATTGACCTTTTGTGATGAAAAATTAATTATTACCTATGTCACCAGAAGACTCAGGAAAGTAATCACAAGAATTATTCGAGATATTGGGTTTAGAAAAATAGAAATGCTTTAGACGCTATGATTTTAAAAGTTATTTATCACTTGTAACCACTTAAATTCTCAAATTAACATTATCCTAATGCTTTCGTGAGTATTTAACATTTAAAGCGATTATATGTGTCCATAGCTTTTAAAATTATACGCTACTAGTTATCTTGGGTTTATTAGCTAGTTTTGTTACCAGATGAGTAAGGAAATAGATATAGTTTACCTTTATCTACATTCAAAAGCAAATTCTTTTCCATCAACTGACACAATAACAACTCTCCATTCTGATTGGAATACTTAAACAACACACGGCCATTGAGAGATCAAATTGCAACAGGCCTCCTAAAATTATCCACACTTAAAGCGGAGAATTCAAATTTGAGGCCTAAATAACTATTCTAATTTACCAAATAGTAGCTAGTTTCTTTTCCTGAACTGCGTGGGTTACTTTAGGACTTATTGTTTGAGACCTTTAGTATTCAAGCCGATACTTTGTCAAGACAGATGATAAGCATTGTATGCGAAAGGACGTTTCCCTTTGTATGACTGATGTAAAAAAAAAATTGGAAAAAAAAGAAGGAATTTCCACCTGGCCCTGCATGTATTAGGATTCATTACCATTTACCACTAAGTGTATAATTATCATAATTTTCTTGTTCTTTTTCTGTTAAGTTGACCAGAATCATGTTATATTCAGAATATCAGGCAAATTCCAATGCTCGAGTACTAAGATATAGTCAAATGTAAGTGCCAATTAACTTCTTTTCACTCAAGTGATGTACATCTAAAATGTTTTGTATAATGATATACTACATAATATGTTTCATCCTGACTTCCTTTCAGTGTATGATCAACGTTGTTGCCTCTTGAGTGTTCATAAATGTGAAACTTGAGGTACGCATGAAATGCAAGAATTTGATTCCTTGTACATGCAACTATCAAACTTCAACTAAATCCTTAGAAATCCATTATCTAGATTTTCATTTGAACGATGAGAATCCTGTAGATAAGGAAGTGATACAACCTTTTCGATAAACTGCATGTCAAACAAACATGAAATTGCTCACCAAGTTTTAAGCTCTCTGTAAGTAGCATTATCTACCACATACTTAGGTTCTTGATTTTTTTTTGTTAGGAGTTTTTCTACATTCTTTTGCAGTTATATTACTCCATCACAATTATTCCATGCGTAAGATATGAATTTCACTAATCAAGAAAGACATTGTAGTTATCTGCTGAGGACTATTTTCCAAAACATTTGTAAATGCATGCATATGCCTATATCTAGTCGATCTACAGACACTGGATATGCGTTCCTTTTTTGGCCAAGCACATACGTGGATAAACTTCCATGTACATATGAAAGTCTTACTTTTCTTCGCATAGTACTGTTTTGTTGAGAATTTAATCAACTCTTCCCGTTAAAGAACAAATACTTGTTTCTGGTTAATGTGCACATGTATCATACATGATACCTTTTTAACTTACGTGTTTTTATTATATTACCTAACAAGTAAATGTCATAAATAACTTGTACTGTTTCTGCACAAACTTATCACTCCTCTTGACTAATTGTATAAGCATACTTGGTGCAACCAACTTGCATAAAATTAGTGTAATAACTGTGCATCATGTCCAATCAAAGTTGCAAATGAAACCCAAGTTTTGTTAGGTAAGATTTAACAACCGAAGAAACTTAGCTGATACTTTTATTTATGTACAGGCACCTTCAAGAGGATTCTTAAACAGGCAAATTACAGGTCAGATAACATCTTCTGATTGCACATGAAGAGTTCACACGAAAAACATACACAATCAAAATAACTAGGTAACAATGAGCAACTACCAATTTATGTTACAAGACCATCATAATGAAGCATCCGAGTTATTTTATTAATTGTTACCATAATGAAGTAGTCATCCACCTAGACTCATGTCGTAGGCCTCCCATGCTTTGCCACAAAACTGAAAGTCAGAGAACTGATGCTGAAAAAAAAGCATTAAGAGGAATGGATTAGTTGTATTCTTCATTCTCATTTAATTGCTTTGTGATCTATAATCTCAAGATGTCTAAGCGTAATTAGTTGACAATGTGTTATATAGCGAGACAAGGTTTTTAGTGCTTACCTCATTGGAAATTTCAGTATTTTGCTGATAGACGGGGATAGTTGATGGGTTCCAATTGCCTGTGGTTAGCAAAATCTCACCAGCCGCGTATTCTCTAGTCTCCAGAAGCCTTCTCTCATGAGGGTTAAGTTCTTCCACTTCAGTCAGTCCTTCAATGGAAGGATGTATTTTCTGAGTTGGGGTGCCTGATCCTTCATCCGTTTCAAAAGAACCCCAAGATTCCCTATCCCTTGCTGCAAAACATAACCTTGATTCGCCAAGTTTTCTTTTTTCTATTGTTCTCTTCCTTGCCCTTTCCCTTGCTACTTTCCTTGACTCCCTTGCAAGACGATGTAGTGCAGTTCGACGAACTAGTTTAGCCTTCTTCTCTTTCTTGGAAGAGGATTTAGCTTTCATCTTTACACTGATATTTGCCTGCTGGTTGTCATGAGTGGTATCTCGAATTGAATCTTCGATTCCAGATACCACTTCACCCTCAGAAGTAGAGGATACACTAGTGTTTGCACCAACACTACGGCTGTGCCTCATCCGTGGCAGGCCTCTCATAATCTCTTCGATTGCTGAACTTGACTGTCTCAGCAACCAGTCCACAGTTTTACTAGCCTTATCAAACCCCAAAACATCTTGCAAATCGAAAAACTTCCGAGCAACTGGTAGGGACAGTCTCATTCTTCTGTCCCTTGGACCATGAGCAGTATTGATCTTGCTGTGCCTATCTTTATTTGACAATCTCTTCCTTGTAACCTTCTCACCTGTGCTCTCACCATTTTTGTTCCAGTCTTGTTTTAGTCCATGTACAGGATCTGAATTTGGATCAGCCATGTGATTAACAATCTCAGCTAAGCTGTTCTCAGCTGTACTCAACTGTTGCTGATAGAGATAAGTGTCATCTAGTTGTTGCCATGGGAATTCATTGACAGCATCCTCATAAATGCATGGAGAAGCAAAGTGGAACAAGGAAGTTAGGAGAGGGTCTTCAAATTTGGAATTCGGGTTGATGTCACTGTGAAATAAAGGCCTATGTTCAACACTTTCCCAAGAGAAGGGTATAGGATTATGAGTACAATTGGTACTGGAAGGATACATCTCTTTTAGGTACACCAAGCCAGCTCTAGTGCTACGCTGTCTACTGAACTATATATTTTTTCTTTTTCTCTTCTAGTCGAATTCTAAAGGGCCAAGAGCTTGAGATCACTGCTCTTAATAAACCTTGAAAAATCTTCGCACTTTATACTCTTCTCGAATGGCTTTCTGCAAGAATAAATAATAGAATTTGAGAGAGACTGATCATGCACCTAATCGTGGAATTCTTTGTCTTTCTAATTTCGGTTGTGTTTGATCAGTGATGTGTGTGTTTAAAGAGACAGAAAAAGAAAAATACTTTCTTGACTCTAGATATGCTTCTATTGGGGCAAGAAAATGTTGAAAAAGATACAACTGCTTGAGAATGACAGCCTAAAACAAATAATAGTGTGTTTTCTGTGTGTGCATTTGTGCACTTATTCTATGCGTCTGAGGAGGGAGCGAGTAGTAGTACCTTCATTACATAGTTCTAGCAAGAACAGAATCTCATGAGAAAGATGATTTCTCAGTTACTACTCAATTAGGTGAGTTTTAGGGGATAGGAAAAGCACGAGGATGAGGAGCAAGAATGCACACATATGTGAATGCATCAGATAGACAAAGAGCCCCTATATATGCTGCTGTTTTCACTATTTTTAACTCTTGATCAAAAGTTGGCTTCTCTGTCTAGAATGTTTGTGGTAGTAGGCTTCCTTGACCATGAAAGAGATTGAAAGGGAAGCTACCACCAATATTGCTGGAAGGCAGTGGATAGGATCATATGCATTTCTTGTAATGTGATGCCACTACTTCACGTGATGATCGCAGATGATAGATAAAATGGCACAAAAAATCTTCCCCCTATTATTCCTCCAAAGCCCTTTTGCTTATAACCCTGAATAAAAAAGCTGATGATAATGATCCATTCGCATCGGTTCCATTTCTCTTCATCAAATTAAGACAAGAAGAAAGGGGCAAGTGAAAGAGAAAGGGACAGAGTACTGAGTGAGAAGTTTTGTGGGTTAGGGTTGCTTTTCCTTTCCTTTCATCACCCAAAAAAAAAGAAAAAAAAAATCTGGCTGTTGTGATGGGAGTAGAATTTAATACCTACACCACTCCCTTGAAGCTCCACGTCAACTATGTACAACCTAGACAAGGACAATTATTACTCAGTTTTGTAGTGATAACATTAGTGAGGGTCCAACATTGAGGTGATCAGGCCTGCCTGTGGCTGTAAGTCTGTATGCTTATGCTAGCTCCCTTTTGACTGGGGCGATAACTTCCTTCAGTTCTCTCCAATGTCACTTTCAATAAAAAGAGAAACCTACATCTCTATGCCTCTCTCTAGTCTCTTCTTCCCTCCTTTTAATCCACACATCTATCTATCTAAAAAGATGACCATATAGGAATGTTGTTATTGCTGTTGGATTGATGGATTCCCTAAGGAGAGTTTCCACTTTCCACTTTCCACTTTCCAAATGAGAGTTTAGTAGCATTAACTGTTGAGGCCACAATACTTAATAGTTTGCAGATATTTGGTCCCTTTTGGCTCGTGAGTTTTGAGGAAAAAATATTTGAAATATTCTAAGATTTATTTCTCAACTATTTTTTTTTTTTTTAATCTTACATACCTTTCATTATTATAGTGCTATTTTCCAACCAAAACTCTCAAGCGCTCCAAAAAAATGCAAATTCAAAACGGACCTTAGCTACTTGAGCAACCAATATAGCCTTTTGTCTTGGCATCCCACGCTCACACCCCAAAAGTTGCACTTGATCAAAGAAGTCAATAGGGAAATAGTGGCATGCTCTCGTGCTTGTACTTGCCATTGATATTTACCTGACCTAAATCAAACCCTAGCCAATCACACCCACTCCTCTTCAAGAAAAAATGAGGCGAAAAGGGGAGGGGTGGTGGTGAAAATGCTTATGGTCTCAACACAATTGAGACCAGTTGGCCACCACTCGTTTATTTCTATATATGCATGCCGCCTCTTCCTCCTGATGAAGTACTCGCAACAAAGTCCTAAGTCCTGCACAAGCCTGTCCTTTTTAAGACTGCCATTATGAGGAGGACCACAGCAAATTGTAAGTTGTTGGTTCTGGGGTTGCTTTCAAGGATTAGATAACCATGAAGAAGTTGGAAAAGAAAAAACCAAAAAACAAATGAGGGAGGACGATTGATAAAAGGTATCACGTAAGGATGAGTGACAATGAGAGCATATAAACCTAAAATAAGTGCTTTCATTTCCGCAGATAAAGAGCCATCATTAACATGTGTGTGTGCGCGCGCGCTCTTTGATGGTGCCAATGGCCAGCCATGGTCAGCGTCATATGCTTTCAAAAACATATGACTCGGTATATGCCCAGATACATCTGAACTTAGATACATATATATGCTTTCAGCTCTTAAGGGGATGCACCATTTTCCCATTCTGGCAAAGTGGCTCGTACATTAGCACAATAATGGCTTGTTCAGAATCCCATAATGGCACATACCTTGTAGTCTTTTTGCTTTCCCTTGCTTATACATGATATCATTTAATTAATTAGGAATTTGCTATAGGAAAAATCATTCAAAAAATGTGCCTCCCGTTTAGCCAATTTTTTCATCTTTCAATTTTAAAATATTAGATTTACATCCTTTACAAATTCAAATTTACAAAAATTTAGTCTCAACTTCAACTTTCAACTATTTTTTTAGTTTGAAATCATCGCGTGATCCATATGCAATAATTTTTATATATAAAAAGGTTAATTCCACTTTTTTTAGTAGCAAAAATGAATATGAATTGGGTTAAATCCTATCCTTTTTAGAGCTGTAAACGAGTCGACTCGAACCGAATATCTCATGTTTAAACTCTGCTTATGAAGCTACTCAAACAAGACTCATGTTCGTTCGATAATATTCGAGCTTTAAATCTATGTTCATGTTCAACTCGTTAAACAAAATTTTAGTTCGAGTTTGAGGTCGAACTCAACTCATTTAACATAAACAAGTCGTTCGTGAACAATTAGACCCGTGTTCACGAACAATTAAGCATGGAATTATGAATTAGGAATACAATATTGACCATAAGTTTTGTGGAACGTCAAGTAGGTCGTTTAAATTTGCGAATGAGCTCGTATTCATTTGATTACATAATAAATGAAAATATTTATTTGTTGAAACTCTGATCATATAAAATTTTGAACGAGCTATTATTGAATACAAACGAACCTATATGAGTCGAGCTAACGAACAACTCAATTCGTTTAATAGCTCTAATTCTTTTAGAGCAAAAATAAATATACATTAGGTCATTTATTTAACAATAAATGAGATCTAATCTTTTTGTCTCTAAAAAAATGATCATGTGTAGGTCACGTGATGGATTCGAGGTAAAAAGTGGTTAAAAATCTAGGTTATGATTAAATTTTATCGACTTGATTTTATAAGGAATATAAAGTTACTATTTTAAAAGTAACATGCCACAAAAGTTATTTAGCGAGATGTGAGATACGTTTTGAACGATTTTGCTTTATTATATGTACTCCATCTAGCTAGAAAAGCAATGAGAAATGAAAGTAGTCAATTTTCGAAGCAATCATGGCCAAGATCCACATTAAACATTCCAACGACTAAGATTCACTTATTTCTTATTCCAAAACACTTAAATCAACCAAATGATATGCATGGAATAATGAACCCAAGCGTGATTTTGTTTTAATTTCTGTATGATCTAGGAGGTCATCCGACAGAATAGAATTCAAAGAGTTTATTGTGAAAGTTTAGTGATTTACATGAGCACGTTTTGCTGTTTTAAAACAATAATAAAACCAGCATTTGCACATCTTAAATACTTAAAAATATTACCAAGAAAGCTAATCGACCATAGACAATTTCTTTAAAAACTTCATTCATAAAACAAGTTTTCCAAAGAACCGGGAATAACAAATATATTCTGACGAAGCTTCACGAGAATATATATATATATATATATATATATATATACATATGCTTCAAAAATAAATATTAGAGAATTCTAATGCTATATACAGTCCAAAAACATCACTTTGCGTACATGTCACACATACACTTAAACAGTGATTGATAGATATAAGTATCCATTAGAAAAATAAGCCATGTAAAGAAAGAGAGAACTCCAAAGACAAAGCGTGCTATCTTCACTTAATTTGACATCCTAATCAAATAATTTCTTCATGGGTAGGGCTGCTGCTTTCTCCGACTTGTTTTCTTCCATTCAGGAATTATTTCTTCATTGGCTGAAAACATCATTAGGGCCCACATTCAATAAGATGTTTCTTTCATATGTAAAAGATCATAACAAGTTTAATCAAATCAAATGATGCAAAACTTTTATGTTATTTTGCTTAAAGATGTGATGGCGGTTAAATAATAATAATAATAATAATAATGGGAGGTCCCATTTGGAAATAGGCCTTTATCAACTCATAAATGTTGAAGTTACATCCCATAAGTAGTATTATGATACAAAATATATGCGAAAAGAAAAAAGGTGCGTGTCTTTGTTGTTTTCTTTAGGCATAAAATAAGAAGGAAAAAAAAAAAAGAGGATGGTTTGTGAGGGTGAAAAAGAAATCATTGTAGTAGAACAGTAAACGCACTTGAAACTGAGCTCTCCTGTAATGTTTCTGGCATGTGAAGCTTTTCAAGTATTTGTTGCATACCACAAAATGTATGACTGACAAGTGACAAGATGCATAAACAGTTTTGTTTGCTGTTAACTGCTTTTTCTTGAATTTGACTGACTCATTTTAAAACATCGATAAAAAACCATAATCAACAAGCAATAGGATGAATGGATGAAGATGTTGTTCTACTTCTCAATCATGAGTCATTAGTTGTAGGTAAAAGAGATGGAAAGTTCCACATGCTCATTAATTAATTAATTAGGTATAAGAAAGGTGGTGGAAAATACTCTCTTTTTTATCAGGTTTTACCTGCTCCACCCCAAATCTCCCCAAAAAGGAGAGAGAGAGAGAGAGAGGGTAAAAGCCAAAAACTCCATAAACAAGCACAAAGGGAAAGGAAAATGAAAAGGACCTAATAAAATTATTTATTAAAGGGGGAAAGGAGCTTGAGACAACTCCATAACTAATCCCTTGAGGTGGACCAAGTTATCATCAACAGTTGAAAACCATACGACACTTCCTTGTTAAAATCAAGCAAATAAAGAGTAGGCCAAATGCAGGGTTCCCATTTTACCTAACTCGGGACAGAAAGGATGGGCGTGTCAAGTGAGAAACCTGCCTGTTCTCAAAGACAATTTTGTTGATTTCTTACGCAGCCGTTTCATTTGTTTCTTGCAAATGCAATATGATGCCGAGAAATAGTGCAACTTCTGAAACAGGCCCGTACGCAAGAGCCCAGTGTCCAATAGGATAGAGTAGGTGCATAAATTTAACGGCGAATTAGGAATAGGAAAACAAAAATAATAGTAGTATGGCAACTGATCATCTCCAAGTTCATAATAACGATAACCTAGAAATGAAAAAAAGGGACCAATTTTACTATAATCTGTACTTGGTTTTGGACAGTTTCGGCAGTAAAGTTAAACTACAGCAGCACCGTAACAAAAACTC